ATTGTTGAGATATGTTTCTAATATCCCTAGTTTTTCTAGTGTTTTGAACATGAAGGGGTGCTGTATTTTGTCAAACACTTTATCTGCATCAATTGATATAATCATATGATTCTTGTCTTTAAGTCTATTGACATGATGAGTTATATTTATTGATTTCCATATGTTAAACCAAACTTGCATCCCTGGAATGAACCCCCACTTGATCATGGCGCACTATTTTTTAAATGTTTTTGTGTGCAATTTGTCAGAATTTTATTGAGAAATTTTGCATCAATCTTCATCCAGGGATATAGGTCTGAAATTTTCTTTCCTTGATGTGTCTCTGTCTGGTTTTTGTATCAGAATGATAATAGCTTCATAGAATAAGTTTGGAAGAGTTCCTTCCTTTTCTATATAATGGAATAATTTGAGGAGTATTGGTATTAATCTTTCTTGTGGGTCTTATAGAACTCATCTGTGAAATCCTCTGGTCCTTGGCTTTCTTGGTTGTTAGGCTTTTGATAGCATCTTCTATTTCCCTGCTTGAAATTGATCTGTTTAAATTATGTATGTTCTCTTGCCCCAGTTTGGGTTGATCATATATACCTCTAGAAATTTGTCAGTGTCTTTGAGGTTTTCTATTTTACTGGAGTACAAATTTCTATATTATTGGAGTATATTTCCTTTTTCATCACAAATTTTGTAATTTTTGAGTTTTCTCCCTCCTTCTTTTCATTCGAGTGGCCAAGAGTTTGTCAATTTTATTTATTTTTTCAAAGAATCAACTTTTTGTTTTGTCAATTTTTTGAATTGTTTCTTTAATTTCAATTTCATTGATTTCTGCCCTGATATTAATTCTTTCCTGTCTTCTTCTACTTTTGGTGTTGGTTTATTCTTCTTTTTTCTAGGGCTTTGGGCTATAATGTCAGGTCATTTATTTGTTGACTTTTTCTTTTTTTTAGTGAATGAACTCCATGCAATGAACTTTCCTCTTAGTACTGTCTTCATAGTTTTCCAGAGATTTTGGTAAGTTGTATCAGAGTTCTCATTTACCTCTAAGAATGTTTTATCTCCTCCCTGACATCTTCTATTATCCATTTGTCATTCAATAATGTATTGTTTAATCTCCAGGTGTTGGAGTAGCTTCTCTTTTTAATTTTATCATCGATTTCTAATTTCATTCCATTATGGTCAGATAGAATGCAGGGTAGTATCTCTATGTTTTTTTTTTTGTATTTGCTAAGACTTGTTTTGTGGCATCACATGGTTTATTTTGAGAAGGATCCATATGCTACTGAGAAGAAAGTCTATTTGCTCATTGATGGATGGTATATTCTATATATGTCTGTTAAATCCAAATTATTGACTGTGTTATTGAGTTCTATAGTTTCTTTGTTTGGTTTTATTTTGGAAGATCTATCAAATAGTGAGAGAGGAGTATTAAAGTCACCCAGTATTATTGTGCTGTGACCTATTTGGTTCTTGTATTTGAGAAGGGTTTGTTTGACATACATAGATGCCCCATTGTTCAGGGATAGATATTTATGGGTGTTCTGTCTTATTGATGTATGAATCCTTTAAGCAGTATGAAATGTCCTTCTTTATTCCTTTTCACCAGTTTTGGTTTGAAGTCAACTTTATCTGAGGATGGAAACCCCTGTTTGTTTATGAGGTCCATGTGAGTGATACACTTTTTCCCATCCTTTCACTTTCAGACTGTGGATGTCTTTTCCTGTGAGATGAGTCTCTTGAAAGCAGCATATTCTTGGATCTTTTTTCTTAATCTAATCTGTCAGTCTATGGCTTTTAATTGGATGAGTTTAGACCATTCATATTAAAGGTTATTATTGAAATATGATTTGTATTCCTCAAAATTTTGATTTATTTTTGTTTTTTTAACTTAATTTGGTTTCTCCTTTGATTAGCGAGTTCCTCCCTTTGTTGATTTTCATTATTGTTTTTCATTTCCTCCTCCTGAAATATTTTCCTGAAGATGCTCTCTAGTGCAGGCTTTCTCACCATAAATTCTTTTAACTTTTTTATATCATGAAGGTTTTTATTTCATCCTCAAATCTGAAGCTTAATTTTGCTGGATATAAAATTCTTGGTTGGCATCCATTTTCTTTCAGAGATTGTTATATGTTGTTCCAGGATCTCCTGGCTTTGAAGGTCTGGGTTGAAAAATCTCCTGAGATATGAATTGGTCTCCCCCTATATATCTGATTTCTCTCTCTTGTGACCTTTAAGATTCTATCCTTATTCTGTATGCTAGGCATTTTCATTATAATGTGCCTTGGTGTAGATATGTTGTGATTTTGTACATTTGGTGTCCTTTAAGTCTCTTATATTTGATTTTCCAATTTATTCTTCATGTTTGGGAAATTTCATGTTATTATCTCATTGAAGAGATTGTGCATTCCATTGGTTTGAATCTCTGTGCCTTCCTCCATCCCAATAACTCTTAGATTTGGTCTTTTGATGCTGTCCCATAATTCTTGGATGTTCTGTTCATGGTTTCTTATCATCTTCACTGTGTGGTCAACTTTATTTTCCAGATTGTATACTCTGTCTTCATTATCTGGCACTCTATCTTCGAAGTGATCTAGTGATGCTTTCTATTGAGTTTTTAAATTTGGTTTATTGTTTTCTTCATTTGAAGGATTTCTGACTTTTTTTAAAGAATTCTTCTTTCTTGAAGTAATCTTTTGCTACCTATTTGCTCCCTTATCTGTTTGTTGGTGTGATCAATGTTGCCTGTATTTGTTCTCTTGTCTCTTTTTTGGAGTGATCAATTTTTTGCCTGTATCTGCTCATTTACGTCATTCTTTAATTCACACATCCATTTTAATTATGTACATTCTGAACTCCTTCTCTGACATTTCATCAACTGTATGGTCAATGGGTTCTGTTATTATAGTATCCTGGTTTGTTTGGGGCACTTTCCTCCCTTATTTTTTTATGTTGTCTATGTGTCTTCCTTTCTTGCAGTGTGGATCTGAGGTATTATAGTGTTTTCCCTATAATATTCTAGTATCCATGCAAAATTATCTGTACCTCACCTTAAGGGTTGGGCTTCCAGACCCTGCTGGTGTCTCAGGATAGATGCTATTTCAAGTATAGGTGGTGGCAGCAAAAGTAACTGGAGATATCAGTGGAAGTGTCTCAAAATGAATGCAATTGCTATCAGAGATTGAAATGAAAGGGTGAGCCTTAAACTGGTTTTGGGATGCCTGTTCTGAGATGCAGCTGCTTCTACGCCCTGTCTATCCTCCCATGTGGAGGTTACTGAGTGGAGAATACCATGGCAATGGTTACAGTGTCCCAAGATGGAAGTGGGTTAGGCCTGGGCTCCCAGGAATGAGGGGCGGTGGACCTTGGTCTACCTTGAGCCTGGGCTCCCACACAGGTTGGCAGGGGCACTCCTGGGCCCTGGCCCTGGCCTGAGTTCCAGTGTGGGTGTACCAAGCCATTTTATATAAGTGAATTGAGCATCCACAGATATTGGTATCCACAGAGTGAGGGGATGATTCTGGAATCACTACTTTGTAGATACCCAGGAACAGCTCTATAAACTTTAATCATTTTAGTAGTTTGATATCTGCATGTTACTCCTAAAAATGAGGTGGTTCATGCTGCCATTATGACAGCTTTGCCCCTGAAAGGAATTCTTGCATGCAAATTTTGTCTTTTTGGGGAGTTAAAGACAAACCAGCAAGGCACAATGTGTAACTGGTTTTATCATTAGTTAAAACACATATAAGAGGAAACAACAAGCATGTATATATTCAGCAATAATATTTTCAAGATATTTCTTGTCACATTGCATTCTAGTTTGTAATGGCACTTAAGAAAATGGAAATTAGAATCCAAATCATTGTTTTCTGCTACAATCAGGAAAAAATCTATTAGATGTTACCCTGTAACTTTTTCTTTATAGTTCCTTAATTACATATAGAAAGAGAATACATGCAAAAATATTTATTGTCCAAAACTGAGGTCACTAAATGGAGAAATATTTGGTTACTAAAGTTGAATGCAAAAATATAAATAAAATTTTTAAAACAACACACACATAACCAGACATACAGGCCCCCAAACAAACAAAAACCCAGAAATATCTATGTAGCAACTGTTATGGCTTGGATTTGGGGTGTCTCCCCAAAGCTTACATTTGAAACAATCCAAGAAGATTCAGAGGGAAAAAATTGTTGTATACAGTTTGTATCTGATGACTGGAGTCTCTCTCTCTCTCTCTGCTTTCTGATCATCATGTGAGCTTCTTTCCACTACACTCTTCTGCCATGATGGTCAGCCTCACATTAAGCCCCAAAGAATGAATCCAACTTACAGACAATGAATTCATGTTTATGAACTGAGACCTCTGAAACCATGACCCCCAAATAAACATTTTCTCTGCTAAAATTGTTCTGGTCAGATCTTTTAGACACAGCAGCAAAACAGCTCACTAAAATAGAAATTGGTACTGAGAAGTGGGGTTGTTGCATGACAAACTGACCTTGTGGTTCAGAAGCCTTAGAATAATAGAAATGCTTTAGATTGTTTTAAGTGGAGCTTAATGGCCAATTCTGGTGGGAGTTCAGAAGACCAGAATGCCAATAGTACTGTGAACAGTGAAGGTGGAGCTCAGAAGGGTTCACAGAATTGAACTCTATTGGAATTTAGGTTAGAGGCCATTCATGGTATTATCTGGCTGAGAAGTATAACTTTGAAAGTATATTTAATGCAATTGTGAAATTTACATGTGGCAAAATTTTCTTATTTATCAGATTGATAGTATAAGATTCGACTAATATGTTTTGCAATAGTTTGGATACAATTAAGTCATTCATATTTACTACTCAGAAGGATTAATTTACCTGTTTAAATGTGAGATGTTTCCAAAATTATAGCAGACAGTTATCAGAAGAATAGAGCTAAGTCATAATGGATAACTTATTTTCATTTTCTAACAGAATGACAGAAAACTTATTCACACCCAATTTTAAATGGATATTACTCACAGCAGTATTTGCAAAGGTCTCTTCATAAAATGCTAGCATCACAGCAAACTGTACAACTGTGTATATCTTTAATAACTGAGAGGCAGATGATGAGAAGAGAACTTCTTTTCCTGTAACCTAGATAGAAAAGAAAAAATATTTTATTTTATTTTATTTTGTTCCAGGACTTATTCCTCTTACTGAAATTCACACTAACTTAAGAGATGCGTGGAAAGTTCTAACTAAAATAAGATATAATTCCATGCTTACATAATTATATCAAAATTGACTCTGCTGTCATATATAAGTAAAAATAACCAATACATTTTTAAAAAGAGATGCAGAAAGAAGTGGAAGTATTTGCCCCTTTTTAAATTTTTCCAAAAGACTCGAATATACATCTGTCTGGATAGCAAAATGTCTGTAAGTTGCTAGACTAACAGGTCTCATGTTTTGAAATTTAGTCTGCCTTAAAGACTAAAGCAAGAATTGATTCAACAATCTATGCTAATGACAAAGATTGCCCAAAAGAATAGGTCGGATTTTCTGCAAATGGGAATATATGCCCATGAATATATTTATCAAAGAAAAACATAAAAGGAAAAAAGGAAGTTGATTCTCAGTAGTGTAGGGAATCATTCCTCAAAGAGAAACATAATTTTATTGGAAGAAACTTTCTCTACTACTGATTTTCCCAGAAATGCCACACTTCTATTATTATAATGCAGACTTCAGCACCTACATAACCTTAAAATATTAACTTTGAATTATATACTAGAAAGAAAAATTATAAATGGATCTTTTCTTACTAGGTTTTTAGATCTTTCCTTACTAGATTTTTTTCACTTATATCAAGATTCCTGCTATGTAACTAATTGTGACTATAAACAAAACTATATGGAATATTTGTAAAATAATGCTCTTCAAATGAAACATGAGTTTATTTCCTTGAAATATCATAGGTTAACTTTCATACTTAGTATCATCTCTGAGATCAACAATAGTTTGCTTTCCCTATTTTTCCTGTATTTCTATTTATAATATTTATTCAAAAATTATAATATGTATCCTAAATGGTTGAAAAGAAATTCTTTTTCTTTTCTAGAAGGGGATTTCAGATAAAAATTGAAATTTTATTTGGTTTTCAGGATGTTTAAATCTGTACAACTTCATTCTTGGTTTTAAATGTGATTGCTGTATTCAATGCTTCTATTTTACTATCAAAGGAATATAGTCATGGTCTAACCCAACAATGACATTGTCATGTGCCTTTAGACCTACTTGGGGGTCCTTGAATTTTCATGAGCAAAACCAAGGATAGACCAAATGATTCCTAAGGCTCCCTCCATCTGTAGTGATCCAGGACTCTCCATGTGAGCTGCATGAATTTGTGAAGTTTTGCTCTGCACATAGGTCATTGGCTTCAGGCTTGATTGGATCTGATAACTAGCTTCTGTTGCTCTGCTCACCAAACTGTACTCTTTGGAAAGAGCTTATGTCCAACTGGTTGAAGAAATCCCTCTATTATCCCTTTGCTGGTGTCCACTTTTTAAGTTATGCTCCACCGCGCTGCATCTGACTAAGGGAACATATTTTAAGAGTTTGCATGACCATAGCATATATGCAGACTTGCTCTAAACCGAACAAGATGACACTAATCTCCACCATCTCCAAGTCTATGAACTCTATTTACCTCTGGGATCTCTTCACTCAGCCCAAGTCTTGGTTTACCTGGACCCCAACCAGGTCCTTTAAATATCACAGAAAACTTATGGAAGAATCCAGGTGTAGCCCAAAATGTAGTCCAAATGTAAAATAAATGGTGGAACTAGAAAAAAAATAAAATATACCTATTTAAAATAAGGAAAACATAATAAAAAGGATTAAATATAAATATGTACTATGCTATTGTTCAATATAATTTATATATTTTTCTTCAGTACAGATTTCATGTGTGATTTGATTAACACAGTTTAATATGCAATTACATTCCTTATTGTAATTTGTCCTATGAATTCTGTGTTACTTATGTTCTTGTCAATATTTCTGAAGTTTAATTCAATTTCAATTTTGAAATAAAAAAATAGAACAAATGGTTAGAAAATGGGCAAAGTAAAAAAGGCAAGTTATGAAGTTATGCCTCAAGAGGAATTTACTAGCAGCCTGTATACTCAACATCTTTGCCTAATGACACCTTTTCTGAAGTCTAGCTAAGTGGATATTTGGGTTAAACTTGAAAACATGAAAAGATTGCATAAATGTTCAAATATTTAAAATAAAATCTCTGAAATTTCAAAGCCATTTCAGATGATAGACTTCTGAGTATTAAATAGCTCATATTCTGTTACTAGAAAAGAAGTTTTTACTGAGAAAAAAAAGTTCTCTTTGAGTCTCATAGCAGGAATCCACATTCTTTAAATAACTCACATTTGACATGTATAGAAGTTAAATATATGCCTACACAAGGGTGCTCAATAAGTGTTAGCTCTTAGGAATTTTGCTATATATCCCATATGTGCCATAGAAATAAAATGTTCATAATATGTCATAGAAATAAAAATAGTCCTACAGTGTGGACATCAGCTACAGACTATAGAGATAAGTTCCACAGTAACTATAGAAATGTATAAATGGAAAAACAAGTTTTGGCTCTCAGAATTTGTGGTCTTACTGATACTTGCACTTTCTCTGAAAGAATTTAAAGTGTGTGTTTATAAAACTTTATTTCAAAATTGCTTGAAATATTACAATAAGGAATATGAAGCAATTAAGGAACTACATGGGATTTAATAGATTAAATTTTGAGGACAAAGCAAACATTAGATGGAAACTTAACCTGGGACTTTGTATTCATGATAATAAAGGAAAAGTAATGTGTTTAGGAGTTAAAACATACTTTAAAATAATTACTTTTTTGTGATTTTTGAAAACTGAACACAATTTTGTTGTATCATTCTGGGTGGAAGCCATGAAAAATACATGGCGATGTTTTAAAATAGAGTATTTTCTCATTTATTTGGCATAACCCAATGCCTTGAAACTTTTGGATGCCAAAGAAGACCAAAATAAATGATTTGTACTACATCATCATCATCATCATCATCATAACCCTCTATCTAACACAAGTCCATTCCAAGTTGTTTCTGATGCCCCTTGGTGATAAGTGAAAAATTTAGCTGTAAATAACTGAATAAAACTAAAAGTAACTACATTTTTATACATTTAAGAACTCTTAATTATTATAACTTGTAGATTTGACCTTTCTGACAATATATGAGAGCATGTGGGATACTAAACCTTGGTGATTTCTAACTAAAGAAAGGGTTTATATAAGGGTAGAGATCTGGTAAATGTTCCTCTCACAGATTCACCAGTGGCTTATAGATGCCTGTGTCTGTCTCATATTGTGTCTCATCAAGACTTAAGCATCCAGTTCTTAGTGCAGCTCTCACTGTATACAAATAGCAACTCTCTTATTCTGTCTCAAATATGAATACTTTTCCTCAGCAAGAGTGTACATTTCCAAGGCTTGCTACTTAGAGATTCATTCATCAAACATCAGCATTGGCACCATCTAGGAATTTGGTAGAAACAGAATTGTAGAACTCAGACCTGCTGGATGGGGTCTACATTTTAGTAAGATTCTGCTGTGATTCACATGCACGCTAGATTTGGAAAGCTCTTTCATAGAATACAGAGATCAATTGTCTACTTTTTTTGTTTGTTTTATTTTTAATCTCCACAGTAAGGAAACAAACCCTTTGTGAAGTGAAGGAGCAATAGCTTTCAATGTATTATTTTAACTTGCTTTAAATGATATAAATTTTATCATTAAAAAGTTTCTTAAAATATTTGCTGTTCTCCTGAGAGTCATATCATGTTCTTAGTAAAGTCTAACCGAGAGAGAGAGAAAGAAGTTCAATGTAGTTTAGAAGAGAGATAATTAGCTTTTCTTTTTTGGTGTATGAGTGATAAAAATGCCTTTCACTTAAAAGTGAAGGCAACTGGAGACAATCTTTTATGTAAAGAGGCAGTATAGGGTAAATGTTAAATGGAGTCTTGGCATTGGTCTACAACCACCTTGGTTAAGTTTGCAATTGACAAGCTGTGTGGACTTGGTTGAACTAATTAAATCCTGAAGAACTCAGTTTCTTCCACCAGAAAATGGGAATAAAAAGAGCTTCTGTCTCATAAGAGTTTAGTGATGCTGACATTAAATATTTGTGCTGTGCTATTTGCTGCATGCTTCACATAGTAGAAATTCAGTAATGTTGACTTTTTTATTTCAACTTTCTGTGAAAATTTGCAGTAGGTTTGAAAAACAGACCCAACATGAACCTAGAGTTTTGTCAGTTACTGAATGCTGTAACCAGTACCTTGTATAGAACTGTCGTTGACTAACCTGTTCAGTTCTTTGAGCATTCTTATCTTTTTCTTATTTGTGAGTCCCTAACCCCAGGAGTCTCTGTGGTGGTCTGATGCTGACATATCAGAGCCTCACAGACATTCTTCATTTCTCCAGTGCCAACCATTGAAGCTAGTGAACAACCAATACCATATGTCTAACAGAAAACTGGACCAGTCCAACAAGTCTTATCAGGTGAGGTAATGTCAGACCTAACCATTCTGTAATAGTTCTTGACACTTAGGTCTAAGAAGAGCAGGGCAAAGGCCTCACGTTACATTTCTAACTAGAGACATGCATCCTGGAAGCAAAAATTGTTCTTACTGCAAGATCAGCTTTAATTCTACACGTTACTACTGCTTCTGAATACATGAATAAATTTCAAGTCTATTCTGAGAAAGAGCATGTTTCCTAAAGAGAAATAATTTTTATAATAGAAAATAGACATATTCAAAAATTCTTATAATGAGTTGTTTTTAAATGTTTTTGCCCAATTTTATTCAACTTTTTGCTTGAATACCAAAGTCACTCCCAAATTCTTTCACAGTTAAGCATTTTTTGCAGTAGTATAATATACTTCCATCTTTCAATAACTTATTTTTCTCTTAACTATATATTTATGAAATAATAAAAATTCAGAATGAGTATGACCAATCGTATTACCTGCACCCTGAGTGGGTCAAAGGTATTAATTGGATGTGTAAGACCATATACAACTCTTTCTTTCTCTGCTTCAAAAGTCCCTGGAAGGCAAACATTAAAAGGATATTATCTTTGACATTCTGTGAATAAAGAAGAAAATTTAATTGTTTGATTTTTGTATGTTTTACTTACCAAAAATCCTATCCCAAATAATAAGAGTGCCACCATAATTTTTGTCTATGCAGTAACGATTTTTGCCTATGAAAGAAAATAATAAACAATAATTTTTCAATAAAAAGGAGCTTTGGCAATTTGAAATATCTTTTTCTTGTTTTTAGAACAAGATTTTAGTGATGCTGATATTTTGTACTATTAAACTAAGATTTAAGCAACAGAATAATATTATTGAGAATATCTTGGGCTTGACAACAACAAATTTTTCCAGCAATGGAGTTTCATTTTATTTATTTTCAGTTAATTTTACTAAAAAGAACAAGTTTTTCTTGAAATTATATGCACTTTTCCACAAATTTCAGTTTAACAAAATGTAAGATAAATCTAAATGGTTATTTTTTAAAGACTACTGAGGTATAATTAAAAAGTAAATGGTACAGAGAAAACTGAATGCGAAATAGGAAATAATATATGTATGTTCTTTTATTTTTTATTTTTAATTTTTCATGTGACATATTATTTATACTTTACATCTCTTTTAAGAAGAAAATTAGGATAAATCTTGGTTAATTTTAAATAACTTTAATAATTTAATTAATAAAAGACATAAGTAAAATTTAAATTGCCTTTGGCCTTTTTAATTAAACATATGATGCTTTTCCTGATCCAAAGTACTCAAATTACAATTTGTTTAATATATTTTTAATTGACATGATCATATCAATGTGATTACAAACCTAAAAAAGAATAGAAATCCACCAAACCACTACTCCAATAAACTTAACTATATTCACATGTTCTCATTCCTTGATAAGCTTTTCTTACATGAAAATATACATTTGAAGCATAGATAAAGCAAAAATCTTCCTCACAGAAAAAATAGAATGAGATTGGCAGTAAAGATGCTCAACCCATCACATGGTCTAAACAATGGCTCTCTTTTGGGTGAGGAAATGTTTTGCCACTCAAAGGACATTTGACAATGTATGGACACATTCTTGGCAGATACAGATCAGAAGGAGCAGCAATGACACCTAGTGCATAGAAACCAGTGTTTCCAGTGCCCAGAATATCCCTACAACTAAGTATTGGTCCACAATAGTGAGGTTGAGAAACCCTGATAGAGAGCACTAGAAGTAAGAAAGTGAAGTCAAACAAAGGGAACTAGCAGCTATTTGTTTTTAAGTGTACACTTGTTCTTTTCCATTGCTTATTTTTCCTTCTATACATAGGAAACTGCAAGAATGTAATGCTCTTGACTTCTCCCCCTCTAACTCTTCCTTGGGAATGGGAGAGTGACACTTGGATTTGGAAGAGTGTGACCCATTTTCTCCTCTGCCTGTGGGAGCTTGTGCTGCTCTGTCCCCTGTTCTAGAAGAAGGATGTACCTCCCTTGAGAAGGCAAGACTACAGTGCTCCTATGAAACCTGGAGCTTAGTATTTATCCCTTTATTATTAGCTTTCTTCTCTCAACATTATGTTTGTAAGATTTAATAATACAATTGAATATAGCAATTATTTGAACATTTTTATTGATAAAAATGAATTTTCTATAATATATTTACATTTTGTACTGCTGATAAACATTTTAATTATTATTTTTTTGCATCATAAATAATGCTGATATGCACATTCTTTATAGTTCTCCTGATGCACAAATGTAAGCATTTCTATTATCATTTAAGTTGTTGTTTCTAAACATTAGGCACTAGCCACATGGGATTTGCTCCTCTGGTAAATGAAGCTTATATTGAGTTTGTTTATAGGACTTCAGCAGGAGAGAGGAGTGTGGCTTTTTAGACTCTGTACAACTCCCAACAGTTTTCAAGACTAAGTACTCTCTGGTTATAGACAGGAAAGACCTTCAGAACTGAGCCTTCAAGAGACTGCTTCAATACATACAATGCTATCTCCTCAGCTGATTAACACATTTTCCCTCTACAAGGAGACTGAGATATAATAAAAAGGGGAATTCAAGAGCCAGATGGAGAAAGTGCTACCACACCACAGACCATGATTCAAACCTGAGACTGATCTAGGTATAACAGAAGACATATAGCTATGTAGACAATGTGTGCTGACTCTATGGGAGATTTACATGAATTGAAGCAAGGCAAAATAACAATTATAGAATTTTTAAAGAAATAAAGAAGAAATAGAACTTCCTTACCATGATGAACCCTATGATGGCTAGGAGTATTAAGAATCAGTTCCAAAGGACCAAGGTTATTGATGATCTGTTTAAACAAAAGAAATATTTACACACATAGCTATTATTAAGTGAGTTTATAATATATAAATACATTTAAAACCCACACAGTTTATGAATTATAGCAAATTTTGAGGTTGACATTAGAGAATAGGAAGAAGTCTCCTTGTCACCTGGACTTCAATAAGGAGACTAATGTTTGCACAGCTCCATCCCCAGAGGCAGTATGGTAACATGGTGAAGAGCAAGACTGCCTCAGTTCAGTTCCCAAATCCACCACTTATAACTCTGTGATCTTGGATAAATAGCTTAGATTTTATTCCTTAGTTTTCTCACCTTTACCATGGAAATGACATTAAGTAGATAATTATATGTTTCTGGGATTACAAAGGTTACTATATTTATGTTATCACTATTGGTAAGGAACACTTCCTTTAAGTTTCATGCTACTTTGTTTTTCACTTTTCATCTATGGCTTTATTTATGTTAGCAGAACATCATTGGGTTGGTTCTACCCTGTAATGAGTCATCTAACTACAGTTTTCTATTCTGGTAATTACTGATTGTACTAGGGTGATAGGGTGATCATGCTTATTCAACTGGAATTCTGAATGGAGTTTTACCTGTAGATGAACCTTCCACAATTCCATCTTACAGGTGTAATCCAAAGTTTGGTTGAAAGTCAAGTTACTTACAACAAGATCTGGTCCCTAACTCTTTAAAGGTCTCTCAACATTTCTCAGGAGGAATCCCCTGTTCCTCAGTCCAAAAATCCTGAGGATAGTAGGAAACAAGTAGGTGCCATTAAAAATGTACAGTAAGCTTTATGTAAGACACTTGATGTGTTATACAAATATTGAGTAATGAAAAATCAATTTCTTGTTATGGTATTTCAAAAAATAAAACACCTTTCCATTTAAGTACTTTTGAGGAAAACAGGAATAAATTAGGTGGTGTTTAACAGGATGAAATAGCCACTGGTAAACATGAATTTGGTGAATTTGGTCACAAGTCAGGAGAGCAGGGGGAAAATAGGGAGATGCTCATGTTTAAGAGAACCAAACATAATATATGAACCTTGTTTGAATACCCATTTGAACAAATCACACATAAAAGATATTTTAAGCAATGGGAAAATTTTATTATTATCAGAATATTAAATGATAAAACGTTTTTATTAGGAGTTAAAACAGGATTTTATGCATGAAAATGCAATTGGTTTTAAGAGTTGTGTAACTGAGGAATACATAACACAAGATCCAAATTTTCTTCAAAATATTTTGACAACAAAAATGTAAAAGAGAAAAGGATAATTTATGCAAATGAAGCAAAATCTTGATTTGTGAACAAGAGCAAAAGAGACATAAATTCATTCTGGTTTTCTATTTTTATGAGTGTTTGGAAATATTTAAGATAAAAATTTAAATAAAAGAAATTATACTATTTTAATATAGTGTAACATGCACAAAGCCAATTGAAAGTTTATCCAATATATCTCCAAGTTCCAAACCATTCCTCCAAATCGAAACTCTTTATCTACCTGGGTTTAATTATTTTTTGGCAAGCTCTTACTTTAGAATACCCAATTTACAATTGCTCTGTAAATGTCAGCAGCTAGGGTGGCCACACTGTCCTTAGTTTGTGGCCTCCTATACCTTCTCAAAGTGGAAGCCATGACAATGCTGCCATAGAGTAGCAGGCATCCTTCAGAACCTTCAAATGCACAGGTGCCACCAACATGTCCCTATTGTCCCACTGTTCCCAGATATGAAAGAGACAGTCTTTGCCTTTTGCTCTGCCGCCCAGCTTTTAAGGGTTTCTCAGTTTCTATTATGTACTGGACAGAACTGTCTGCCTTCAGGGGTTAAAAAAAAAATATTATGTACTAGATGATAGTTGAGTTCTCTCTTTTCTCCTCACTGCTCCCTTTTTCTTACCTGGAGTCTCATTCACCATTTTAAAGTTATTTCTATGAGAAATGTATTCTGAGCTCAAACAACAGACTTTTTAAATAATTCATAGAATTTTTGTATACCAAAGACCATCTGTATTTTTAAATTTTCAATAGATCAAAATATTGTGAATATATATCTCATTTAAGACTATATTCCTATGAAATAAGGCAAAAAGTTTCTCACAAATACTATTTTATTGACTGGGAGTTGGGAAAAGGTTATATAGAAATTGTATTACATTATGCTCATTGGTGGAAAAATATTTGTAAAGAAGAATGGTAGTGGACAGAGAACAAGAAGGTGGGGGTTCCTCAGCAGTTGGAACATTGAAATCTGATGTTTTGGTTGGACCGTGTATCTCTGGCAGACAACCAGATGGAAAAGGAGAGAGCCATTTTATCCTTGTTTGTCTCTTTGGTGCCTAACATGTGTTACAAAAACAAACAACAAAAGCGGGTGGAGGGCCTATGCTGACCAGCTCCTGCTACCCAGATGCAGCTCTGATCTTTGGTCCTGGCATGTCTGCAGCCAGATTGAAAGCCACACAAAGGGTGAGTGCATTCAGATGACTGGAGCCTTGGCTGAGGGCATTATTATTATTATTTTTTTAATGTCGAACTCTTCCTTGGAGAAATTTTTTTGCTCTTGCAGGCAAAAACATGGTGATATCAATATTAAAATTCCCCCCTCCATTTTTTATTAAAAGCCAAGTATAACACCGTTAACCACAGTTAAATTTCCTGGTAGGGCCTATGAGTACCTTGGAGCTTGAGAAGACCACCTCAGAGGGGGATATGATTCATCATTCAGACAGCTGGGTCAGAACCCCTCATGTAGAAAACCCTTCTGATTCAAAGTCATGGAGAATTCATTAATATTTAATAAGGGTTGAGCGTAACGATTTAATTATCGCCCACATTTGCAAATTCAGCCATTTAGTAATTCAACCACATCTAGCTTGAATTCACTTCCTAAAAATGTTACTCTGGGAATAATTGCAGCTATTCTTCTTTGTTAGAAAAAAAAAAGTTATTTATTTGTCTTTATTAGATTTAGATGTGGAGTTCATTTAAATTATGGGCTTTTAGAACTTATAGGGATCTTCAACATAATCTTATCCAATAGTCTATTTTTTTAAAAAAAGTATAAAACTGAAACTCAGAAAGGTTACCCTACTAGTCAAAATTATAACAGCTTGGAATAAGTCCTAAAGTTTTTTCAACTTCACCTCAAGAATATTTCTATCATTATTGCATTTAATACACATTACTACAATTTTCCATCCATGTAATTTAATTTTTATAACTTTAATAGAAAATTAAAACATTAGTTAAAAGGATTTCAGGTATTTACAAGGAGGCCAAGGATTTCAAATTCTAAACTGCCTCATGCTTTTTTACAATGCAGAGGACAGTGGCATAGTTGAATTCTGGTGATCATTACCTGGTGAATACCTGGCATTATCTTCACATTCTCTGACTACAAGATTGTGGGGGCTTCAGTTTTACTGGCAGGAGACAGAGAAAGAAAAGGGAATTTCCATTTCTTCACAGGTGGTTTTTGAAATTTCTCTGAGAGTTCTTGCCAGCTCAGTTGCCCTGCACTCACATTTGAGTTGAAGGACAGGGAGATCAAAAAGATTAACAAAATACCCATTGTATCTGGGTGATCAGTCTGGTATAATTTTGATATGGAAATTTTAAAAGTAAGTACGTTTAGTAAATATATTATTAAATATATAGTAAATAGTAAATATATTATTAAATGCCTATTATGAATTTTGGTTGTATTTTTTTTCCCATGATATAGTTCTCAGGTATTTTCTCACTCTCCTACCCTATCTGAAAAAACATGCTTCTGTAGATCTTTCTAATTTAAATCGAAAAATAAAATTTAGACTAGAACTCTATAAAACCTCAAGTTAATTATTCTAAATAAGTTTACTTTTACAAATTATTTCATAAGAAATTAACCTCTTTCATTTTGTGTAATTTTGAAATATGTAAAAAGATTCTTTTGATTAGAAGACATTGACTGGGCTAGATTTCTGAAGCCCAACAGAAAGTATCAAAGCAATAATCTAATGATTGAGTTACAGGGCAAAATTTGATTTTAAGAAAATTATTTTGATAATTCAAAGCAAATTATTTCAGTTGTTAAATTTGCTCAAAAATTTGCCTTGTCTCACTTTAATCTGACAACTGAGGTTGGAAAAGAGACTTTCTAAATCTAATAATGAAATGTGTAACTGAATTCTGTTCACAAGTTTTAGAAGAATAATGGGAATATCACACAATATTTCTATCCTTTGTTTTTTCATCTGCTAATTGAGTATGAAAAAGGCTAAAATATGTTGAAAAGTCATATCAGTATTTAAAAGTGCTTACTTTTTAGAAAGAAGTTATGAGCTTATAGTTAATTGTAAAGTTAACTCTAAATAAGAGATTCTTACAAATACTCATGTTTCCTTTCTGAGAGGGAAAAATCTAATCAGGACAATATGTCCTGAGATGCTTTACTAGAATTCTTATTATAACAGTGAATGTGCAAACAATATGACTGAGGTGTGACTGGGTTGAGTGTGACGTGAAATGAAATCTCCATTGCAGGAAAAAATGCCTGCATTCAGATGAGCACAGGTTAGAGTGACGACATTGGTGACATTGACTACAACCAGTCAAGACTTTCTTTACAGCATCGTGTATGACTGATGTTCCAAAAAGTCCTACACCACTGTGGGTCTCCTTGTTTCAGTGCAGTCGGTATGTAAGAGAAACACTAAGCCAGTTCCTAATACATTTATCATCTAAAATAAAAATCATTGTCATACAGGATTTAATTGAGAAAGATATGCCTTGAGAACAGTTCAAAAGTGGCAAAACTGTCAGATGAGAACAGTGACAAGATTCTGTGCAAGCCTAAACAAAGATTAAATGGACTAATAGTTAAACCATGATTAGCTGACTTTTTCTTGGCCAATCTTCCCACTTCCTTTCCTCCTCTTTCTCTTTGTCTTCCTTCTTTGTCTCTCCTGTTTTATTCCTTTATACATCTAACTCAATTATTTTTATAA